TCCTTCTCCCGCCACGGCCGCTCCCTCCCCTCACGGGCCGTTCCCGCGCGCCGTCCCTTCCCCCGCCAGGGGCCGTTGCCGCGCTCGCCCGTTGCCGCCGCCGCTCACCTTGGGGTTGGCGCGCAGCTGCCGCTCGTCCTCGTGCAGCAGGGCGGGCGCGGCGGAGCGCGAGGTGCGCACGAGCACCTGCAGGCACGGGTAGCGCGCCGTGCCGCGGCACGCGCCGCCGCACGAGAAGGAGCAGGCGAAGCGCTCGCCCAGCTGCCGCACGGCCAGCACGGTGCAGTTGGCGGCGCCGCCGCCGCGCCGCTCCTGCAGCGCCGGCCGCAGCCAGCAGAAGCCCAGCACGAGCAGCGAGAGGAGGCCGGCGGCGATGAGCAGGAAGCCGAGCCGCATGCTCTTGTCCTCCGCCTCCGTGTACTCGTAGGCCGGGCGGCTCCGCGCCATGGCCGCGCTGCGCCGCCGCCGCCGCCCGGCAGCCGCGGCCATGAGGTGAGCGCCTTAGCGCCCCCCGCGAGCGCGCACACACACACGCACCGAAATAAATAAATATATACATATATATACGAGTGTCAGTGTGTTGGGGGGGGAGGAAGCCGCGTTACTTACTTATCTGCGCGCCGTGACCCGCCCGCGGCGGGAGGCAGGGACAGCTTGCGGCGGGATAAACCGGCCCTGGCGGGATTTGCCGCTCCGGATTAGTGGTGCCGCTCCGGATTAGCGGTGCCGCCCCGTCCCCGGCCGGCCGCTGTCGGAGAGCTTCGGGCTTCGCCTCTTCCCGGCGCGAGCGGTGCTGCCCCCGGCACTGCCGAGGCTGGGGCTGCCGCGAGCTCCGCCGAGCGCCGCAGGGCTGCGGCAGAGCCCCGGGGGGCCGGGGGGACAGAGCCCCGGGGGGACGGGGGGACAGAGCCCCGGGGGGACGGGGCCGGGGGGACGGGGCCGTGGGGACACGGGACATGCACCGAGCACGAGGTCGGCGGGGCGGCCTCCACGCGTGCCGGGTCCCTCAGGGCCTCGGTGCGCGCGGGGCGGCCGCCGCSGTCAGGGATGCGCGGGAGCGGCTGCATCCCCGTCCTCGGAGCTCRGCCTCACTTGTCCTTCCCCAACAGGACCTTTAGTGACTCAACAGACAGTGATGAGTGGGTTCGAGACCCCCGTCTGTCATTTCCAGAGTACAGGCAGACCCAGTCTCTGAATCGCTGCTCGCCCGCTAAAGACAAGGGTAAACAGGGGGCCACTGCCCAAGGTTTTGCCCAGGAAGATGCTGAAAGGCAGCCCTGAAGGATGCCCCTTGGAAAGAGGGCTGCAGAAGGGCACCAAAGCCAAGGGAAATGCGCGAATGAACTGCGGGTGCTGCTGAGCATCGCCCGCCGCGGCAGCTGCGAGGCAACACGCTCCCCGGCTCGGAGTCCCGTTTTTATTCTATATTCTTTAGCACAGTTAATTACATAGAACAAAATCTGTGCTGATAGCTGAATCTGGTGATACAACAGACAGGCGGCTGCAGAAATGACAGAAAAATTAATACGGGAAAAAGGACTTTCTTCCAGCCAGTTTTTCCAGTCACTTCTGCACTGCAGCAGAGCAGAATGTCAAACTTTTAGAAACAAAGTTGAGCCATAGGCTCCTCAAATGGAATATTTAGCAGCATTTGGCAGGAATGCTTTTGATAATCCACTCTGTGATATGAATATAAATGACTGCAAATACTGTTCTTGGCTGCACTGATGTGCAACACTCTGCCCTCAGGCTCGGTGCTGTACAGTAGCCACTTCTGCTACTACAAGTTTCCAGAAAAAGTACTCCAGCCATAAGCCTGGATCAGTTGGATCAGGTTTTACGAGTGAGAGGTATTTACACTAGAAACACAACTCCTTCTCTAGTTCTTGGCTCTGTTCATGGGTTCTCTTCAGTCATCCCTTGCTGCCAGCGCTCTTGGTGGTGGCAGCCTTTGGTGGTTGCTCTGTTTTTATCACACAAAACCACACATTTTGTTTTCATAGGTTGGTTGCCTGCCACCTGGATCCTCTCCCAAAAGCCCCTCTCCTCTCCTCTCCTCTCCTCTCCTCTCCTCTCCTCTCCTCTCCTCTC